GAACCTAACGTTGGACCCCGACCCCCCCCCCCCCCCCCCCCCCCCATCTGGTCGCCCACTTGCGTCAGACCTCGCCGTACAGCGCGTACTGCTCCGCCAGGGGGTAGGATGGAGGGAACAGTTGCTGTGCGTGGTGTGTGCGTCGTTTTTGTGGCGGTGGTGCGCTCATAGCTGGTTTCATACCCGCGGTGGGGGGGTTGAGGGGATGGCGGGCGGGAGGATAGGTCGAGTATAAAGAATCCTAGGTCGTTGGCTCCACAAGCAAGATCTGGGCCACGTTGGTGACGTCGTATGCTTGCGGGACTGGGTTCTCGTTGATGCCCGATTCTGTGGTCGGCAGGTACACAATCTGGTTGAACGTCGACTTCCTTTGGAGATTGCACGCACCGACGGCCATCGACGGCCCAGCCTGTGCAAAGTACGAGCAGGCAAACGAGTAGAGCTCGATGTCGGCCAGCGGCGTGTCGGACACGTCGGTAAACTGCATCGTCTCCTCGGTGATCGAGACCGTGATCTCGGCGAGAAGCATAGTGGGGTCATAGTAGTAGTTGCCTCCGCGGTTGAAAGTGACACCAAGTAGCGGCGCGTCGTTGGCTCCTCCACTCTGAATGAGCGCGACGACGCCGTACTCGCCCGCGGGGATGACGACAATGTTGTCGTTTCCGGGTATGGCGATGCTCGCCGTGCCGGAAAACATGAGCGTCGCACTGCAAACAAACGAGCTGTTGTGCAGGACACAGTTTGCAGTGTTGATCGCATACGGATTCTGAGTCGTCGCTGTGAACGACTGTGTGGCTCCGGTCGACGGATCGATGATCGACATCAAGACCGTGGCGTACTTATCCGGGCTGGAGCCGATGTGTTTGATCATTCCGTCGGTGTCGAGTCCCATCCAGCCGGCACAAGTCGGCGCCATCGACGTCTGCAGCGTCGTCACACTGCACTTGCTGCCTGCCACCGTCACCATCACCAGATTCTGATCCTCGCCAATGTACGCGTACTTGCCCGAGCCGAGCACCACAGCCGGCGCCATCGGGGCCAGGCCAGGCATGTCCACGTTCACCAGCACCATCTTGGCCGGTGGGAGAGAGGCACAGCTCGCCGAGAGCGGGACAGCGAGATTGGTGACAAAGTCGACAGTTCCAAGCAGCGTTGTGTTGTTCTCGGGAATAAAGGCAAAGATGCGCGGCGAGTGCGGCAACTCGACTCCCTTCGACCGAGCCGAGTCCGAGTCCGAGTCCGCGATGGTGACGTCCACGACGGAGCTGTCGGCGGCATGCAGCGTGCTGGCAAACAGCACGCAGAGACAGAGACAAAGACAGAGAGACGAAAAAGAGAAGAAGTACGCATGGCGAGTATGTACTGCCGCTGGCGAGTCAAGTCTGGGCGAGAAGGCGAGCAAGCAGTGTCCAACTAGACACTACTTGCACGGGGAGTGACCGTCGCCGCTCACTGCAATTCCACGGAAAACTGCCCCAACGTAGCAACGGCGTCTCCAAAAGGACTGTGGTCTTATGGTGCCGCTCTTGCGATCAAGCAATTGTTTCTGATACTTAGGATGCCTGCTCTGGTAGTGCACATCACACACAATATGTGTACAGTGTATGCCGCTTGAAGAGCCTATGTACCGTTGTAGGCATGGTCATGGTTGCAGGTCAGGCCTCGCATTAGCAGAAAACCGCGCTGTTCAGTCAAAAAAACACTAATATTGTGGGGGGCCTGGGGGGGGGGGGGGGAGGGAGTGGGGGGGGGGGGAGAGGAGGAGGGCATACGTGACTTCAACAAGACAAGAATGATCGCTAAGGACGGCCGTGTGACTTGTGGTGTGAGCCTGGAGGTTATGGACGCTCGGCTGGAGCGAATGGAGCGACTGCTCAAGGTGGCGGTGCTGGGCGTGGTCGGCCTGGCTCTCCTTTTGTGCCTCGTTGGTCATCGGCTGCATGTGGCCAAGACTGAGGCCGAGATGTTAGTGGCCGAGGCGCGGGCTGAGGTGATGGCGTTCAAGGCGCAGTTCACCCGGAGTGCGCTGCATGACGGGGCCAAGTCGCTGATGAAGGATCTGATGGGCGAGGCGCTGGCGACGCTGACGGGCGAGGTCTCGCTGCTTCCTTCGGACCCGATCGGAGTCATTGTGGACAACATTGTGCGGTACGACTACTCTCAGCTGGTGGTTAAGGCGCACAACATCACATCGGCGTACCAAAAGACGCAGCGGTATGCTAACCAGTTTGACGAGGTGTACAACACCATCTCGCTCCTGGCGAGCATCTTTGAGAAGGCAGCGGAGGTCGAGTGGCTCAAGACGGCGCCGGTGACGGACAAGTCCATCAAGGCCGAGTCTGGCGACATTGCGCTCAACATCAAGTTCCCGCTCTTTGACTACCTTGTCGACTCGTTTGATCCGGTCACGCTCGCCTCGCTCGGCGCCGACTGCGTCGAGCTCGCCGACCGGACCACCCGCAACATCGACTGGTCCGGCGCATACCCAACCCAGGGCTACTACCCGCCGGACGGGTACACCTCGTGGGATGCCAACAACGGTATCCGTATGGTAATCCGCGACTACATTCACCCGATCTGCTCTTCGCTCGCCGCGCTCGACACCCTTCTCGCCGAGATGGAGGGCTGATCGAAGCCGGCGTGAGTGGCCGACATGCATCACATGCCATACAGTATATTTTGCAAAGAATAGAGCCGTATCATCACATCATCGAGAGCGGGAGAGGGTGGAGCAGCAAAGCCAGAGACGACCACATCACCAACAGATTATCATGGGGGTGGAAATGTTGTGCCGTTGAACACTACACTCACCGTCCTCGCTCACCCTCGCAGACCACGCCCTACAGCAGCCACCGCTACGCGAGGGCGGTACAGATGGTAGACCAACTGATGTACATGCCATGTGCGTCGTTCTCGTGGCGGCAGACCGCGTGTAGCGTGTTTCATGCCCGCGGTAGGGGGGTTGAAGGCCGGCCGGTGGTTGATGGCCATCGATCGGCAGGCGGGCCAAGGGTGGGGTAGGGGCTGGCCAATGAGGTAGGGCGAGGGTGGGGTGGCCATGGAGGGAAGGGGATTGGATGAAGAGAGAGCCCAGCTGGTGTGCGTGCCATGTTTGCTGTTGTTGTGGTAGCAGGACCCCCGTGGCGTGCTTCATGTCCGCGGTAAGGGGGTTGACGTCACCCTGGGCGAGAAGGAGGCGGACGATGGCCTCGTGGCCGGCCTTGCAGGCGTGGTACAGCGGGAAGCCGTCTTTGACATCGACGTTCGGCACATCCAGCATACACTCGACAAGGCGGACAGAGCCGACACCGACGGCCCGCACAAGGACCCGCGACGCCTTCGGCGCACCGAAAGTCCTCACCCAGAGAGCAGTCCCCGCCCGGAAAGCGCACACCGCCCCGTCCCAGAGACCTTTCGCGACGCACGCGTCGAAGCCGAGGAGCGCATGCCCGTGGGCGGCAGACCAGCGTGTGCCGAGGAGGGCGGCGTTGAGGGCTTTGCAGGTGAGGGCGAGGTTGAGGTACGAGGTCGCGGCCTCCTGGGCAGTGGCCACCTCGGCGAGCTTGTCCGCAATGCAAATGACGAGTTCGGGGGCGAGGCAGGTGATCATGTCCAGGTAGGTGGTAGAGGAGGTAGAGGAGAGGAGGGTATGTCGCCAGTGGCCCCGGCCCCGGCCCCGGCCCCGGACCCGGCCCGACTCCGACTCGCCACACTCGCGGCTGGCCATTCGTCTCAAACAGGCCATGCTTGCTGCTATTGTTGGGGCATTGGGGACAGCGGCAAAGGTAGCAACGGCGGCGCCGTTGCCGGCAAAGGTCTTTCTCGGTACGGCGGCGGCAGCGGGCGTTGGGGTCCCTTTCGCACTCGCTATGGCTGGGTTCGGAACAGCGGGTGTGACGGCAGGCTCTACAGCCGCCGGGGTACAGGCAGGGATCGGCAACGTTGTGGGAGGGTCGTTGTTTGCTACCTTCCAGTCGGTGGGCGCTGCCGGCCTCGCGAAATCGACTGTATTGGCCGTTGCAAGCGGCGCAACCGCCTTATTCTCTACTATCACCGCGTACAAGTCATGAACATCGTTAATCTTTGGCCATGCTCGCTTAGCGCGCGGCATTCTGGCAGAGGCGAGCGCGGCAGGTGGACAGTCTACGGCGTGGATCACTGTCGTGCACGATGCGCTCCTCTCGGCAGGCTTGATCCATGTGCGTATCGGGGCATGTCGAGTGAATGGTTATGATTGCAGCGGTGGTGAGTATGTATGGTATGGATGTGGTGGTTGTGAGTGCAGATGGTCGGGAGTGGGGGTCGGAGATGGGCCCGGGGAGGAGGGGTGAGCAGCATCGAAACGACACCAGGACAACAAGTTGGGCCTCAGGTGGTAGAACTCGGATTCCGGAATACTGCAGCTGTGGATTGGAAACTGTGCACGGCGGTAGTGTGTGTATGTAGTAGAGTAGTAGTGAAATCAGATTGGGTATAGCTGGTGATGAGTGTGGTGGGGGCATGTGCGGGGTCGAGCGGTCGAGGGCGTGCTCAACCACCTAGGTAAAACAAGTCTACGCGCAAGGGAGCCGAGGTCGATGGGTATCGCTGATAGCGATATTGGTACTGGTGATAGTGTGGGTGTGTGATGACATTGGGTGAGGTCGTGGGTTGCGTAGCTGATAGTGGGAAGGAGCTAGGTGGTGATGAAGGTGGGGCTGATCGGGCGAGCGGGCGGTGGCTGGCGGCTGGTGGTCGGCGAGGCAGGGGCAGCAGAGGAAGCTGGGTCGGGGATGGTTGACTTGGGAATGCTGTTGGTTAGTGGATGGGCAGTGTGGCTGGTGATAGTTGAGCGGATGGCGGTGTCGAGGTCAGGGATGAGGATGGGAGTGAGTTGGAGCGAGGAGGGGAGGAGGAGGAAGAAGAGGAGGAAGCAGAGTGCGCGATGGGATGGTGGTAGGCATGGCCAAGGCATGGGGGTAGTAGTTGTGGCTGGAATGATAGTGATGGCGGTGGAGTATGCGGTGGGAGTGGTGGTTGATGGTGATGGGGCGTATGAGTACGGTAGGGGGGGATGAGTGGGGTCGTGACGTGGTTGGCGGGATTGGCGAAGAGGTGATGAGACTGCCATAGGTGAGAGGTGAGTGATGACCAGTAGTGTGGTCGCGGGATGTGTAGCTGGCAGTGGGTGGGAGCTACGTGGTGATGAAGGTGGGGCTGATCGGGCGAGCGGGCGACGGCTGGGCGGCTGGTGGTCGGCGAGGCAGGGCAGCAGAGGAAGCTGGGTCGGGGATGGTTGACTTGGGAATGCTGTTGGTTAGTGGATGGGCAGTGTGGCTGGTGATAGTTGAGCGGATGGCGGTGTCGAGGTCAGGGATGAGGATGGGAGTGAGTTGGAGCGAGGAGGGGAGGAGGAGGAAGAAGAGGAGGAAGCAGAGTGCGCGATGGGATGGTGGTAGGCATGGCCAAGGCATGGGGGTAGTAGTTGTGGCTGGAATGATAGTGATGGCGGTGGAGTATGCGGTGGGAGTGGTGGTTGATGGTGATGGGGCGTAATGAGTACGGTAGGGGGGGATGAGTGGGGTCGTGACGTGGATGGCGGGATTGGCGAAGAGGTGGTGGGTATGGAGATTGCAGTGGAGGATTGATGTGGATGGATAAGATGAGGCTGATGGGTGTGTGTGGGGTGTGGTTGATGAGGGTGGAGGGGCTTGGGCGGCAGGGGCGAGGAGGACGGACGGGATTGGATTGAGATGGACGTCGATGGAGACGAGGGCTTGGGCTTGGGGGGAGGCAGACCACTGCACTCTAGCCCGCCACTGCATTGCCTATCGATTGCCCTTGCCCTCTCTTGTTATTCCTTGTCTTGGCCAGCCCGGTGGCTTCGTCGTCTGGCACGGTGATCGGCAGCAGGGGCGGCTGGCGATGAGCTGGCCGGCGGGGACTGTGATGGGCAAGGCCGGTGGATGGAGGGGAGGATTGGGTTGGACGGCAGACTGGTAGTCATTGCCATTGATGTGGCTATCTCTCTGCATCGTCTCCAATGCCCTGTCGATGGCTAGCCTGCTCTAGGTGGTGCCGGCGGTGGTCGGTCGGCGGCGGGCGGCGGTCGGCGGCGAGCAGCAGGCGGCCGGCAGCGATGCTGTTGACGGGATGGCGTCGGCTGATGTGAATATCGGCGGGCAGGAAGTGGGTGGATATGTTTGCAGGGGTAGTGAGTGTGTGTGGTGTATGTGTGGTGGTTGTGGGTGGAGATGGTCGGGAGTGGGGGTCGGAGATGGGCCCGGGGCAGGGGGGTCAGCACCTTCGAAGGGACACAGGGCCAACAACTTGGGCCCGAGCCGGCGGAACTCGGATTCCGGAATACTGCAGCTATGAATTGGAGACTGAGCATGGGGGTAGTGTGTGTATGTAATAGGGTAGTAGTGAAATCAGATTGGCCATATCTTGCAATGAGTGTGGTGGGGGTTGTGTGCGGGGTGGGGCGGTCGAGGACGTGCTCAACCACCTACGGCAAACAAGTCGACGCGGAAATGAGCCGAGGTCAATGGGTATGGATGACAGCGATATTGGTACTGAAGCTAGTTAAGAACGAGTGATGACCTTGGGTGTGGTCGCGGGTTGCGTAGCTGATGGTGGGAGGGAGCTAGGTGGTGATGAGGGTCGGCTCATCGGGCGAGCGGGCGACGGCTGGTGGCTGGTGGTCGGCGAGGCGGGGGCAGCTGATGCAGCACGGTCGGGGCTGGGTGGCTTGAGATTGCTGTTGGTTGGAGATTGGGCAGTCTGACTTGTGATGGTTGAGGGGTATGGGTGTCAGGTTCGGGGATGGGGATGGGGGTGAGATGGAGCGAGGAGGGGAGGCGGAGGAGGAAGAGGAAGCGGGGTGCGCGATGGAATGGTGGTGGGCATGGCCAAGGCAAAGTGGTGGTGGTTGTGGCTGGCATGATAGTGATGGTGGTGGGGTAGGGGGTGGGGGTGGTCGTTTGTGGTGACGGGTGGTAATGAGTATGGTAGGGGGGGATGAGGGGGGTCGTGACGTGGGGTCGTGACGGGCGAAATGGTGGTAGGTATGGTGATTGGGCTTGAGCATTGATGAACATGGGTATGATGAGACTAAAAGATGTGTGTGGAGTGTAGGCGATAGGGGCGGCGGGTACTTGGCCGGCAGAGGGAAGGCGGCGG